CACACACTATCAAATAGGCAAGTCAATTTCATTTTAAAATTTATATTTTACGACATATTTTTACTATAATATACATTAATATAATATACATTCATACTATATAAAGTCTATACTGACCCTTGCGAGATTGGGCCGCCTGTGTTCTGACCGGCACTTTTTATTGTTGGTATTTACGAAGTGCTATATAGTTACAAAGCGTGATTAATTAAAGTCTATTCTTTGTTAATTCTGACTCCAGTTGCAAGTTATGCCAGTTGTATGTACGTTCACTCGATCAGCAGGCATGATGAGACATCTCTTGTGGTCGTACTTAATAGAGGGTGGGAAGGGGGGGGTATGGCTCACGTTTCACAACGGAAACATAAGCTGTTTTACGACTCACGTGTCTTAAAAAAGTAGTTTCACGGAAAACTGCATTCTAATAAAATAATATAATAATAATAGGTTTATTAGGAGTATGTTTAATGCATGGTTCAGTAACTACGCTTTAAGTTCGTCTCTCACTTCTCTACCTGCGAGTTAAAAACTACATCATAGCTTACAAGTTTGAGTGATGAGCATGTACGACGACCTCCGAAAAACCTCCGAAGTTTTTACTCGTGTGCAATCGAGTGAGATAATTTAAATTGATTGTCGCGTATCATGTCCATTATGACTATTATAAAATAGATCGAAATAAACAAAGCAAAATCACAGTTCACGAAACAGACATCCTTAATTCTCATTTCACGGAGCATTTTTATCGACAATCACGCCTCGCGGCTGTAGAACAAATCACATTTCACGACATTAAAATCAAGCATTTCACATTTCACGCTAACAAATATTGACCATTCACGGCTCACGAAAATACCCTTTCCCACCCTCAACCTACACATGGCAGTACCCTACTCCCCAGTATATATACATGAACCTGTGGTTCGGGCTCGACAACTGGCCTCTGCAGGTCGATTCCTGCAGGCTATAGGGACATAAAAATAAGTGTTTATAAAATCGTTTATAAAAACTCGTTTACCAGACAGATTATTTATTGTTCAATCTGTTGAAGGATCATGTTTCGGTCTTACGAAATTTAGTGTAATTACGATATTTAATAGATGGAGGTTTTGTAATTTTGTACAAGTTTGAACCGTAGCGCGCCTTGATTTTTTGCTATATACCCATGATGGTATATACAGCGGAAGACCAAAGTTTGGTTGCACTACCAAAATGTAGGCCAAAACAAGAGGCTCAGGCCAGGGCGCTTATATATTAAGCGCCCTGGCTCAGGCCATGCACGTCATGCGCTATATTTTAATTATTTTCTGCCTTTTTAGATGATTTGCCTCAGAAAGTCTTGGAAGATATCAAAGGTGAATAAATCGTAAACTTTAATGAACTCTTAACATTGAACTGGCTATTATTTTGATGAGAATAAACAAGAGTTTTTGATTTATCTATTATTTATCTGATTGGCCACAAGAGTTCAAATTCGAATTTTCAAACTGCCAACTCTCATCGATTCTCAGGTATCTAGCCTACGATGTAGACCCCAGCAGAAACACGTTTCGTGTTTCTGCTGGGGTCTACACCGTAGGCTACAGGTATCCCGATCACCTCTCATTCGTAGTTCTTGGCTTCGCTCTCATCAACTCTCGTCAACTGTAAACTGGTTCGAATATTGATGAGAGAGGGGTGATATGAACGTTTTTGCTACGTGCGTTGGTAATATCAACGGCCAACTCTTATGCAACTCTTGTTCTTGTTGGACCGGGGCATGAGAGTTGAGAAAACTGTCATATACTGTAAACTCTCGCTTTGGAACTCTTGGACTTGGCAACTCTTATCAGGGCTGAATACTACTAAGAAATAAATTTACTGTAAGACATAGCATATGGTAGCATACATTATACTGTAGACACACTGCCTTTTTTGAGACAACTGTGGTGCCAAGGATATGCAACTACCTGAAAAATGTAAGTAGAACTACGAGTCTACGACGTTTTTAGCAGAGTCGGGCAATCCACACTACTAGCGAACTTGAGCATGTATGACGACAACGCGACGACGACGGCCAAAACAAATTCCTTCAAATAAATTATAGTAAGTAAAACTTTTTGATCGTTTATCAGTTATAATTCGTATCTATTTAATACAGTATTTAATAGAAGTTGAAAACATTGGCTTTATGTTTGGAAAAAGTTCTACTGAACCGAATTTTAAGTTGCACTTGTTACGGCTTGAAATGCAAGCGTTGTATAAAAGACGTGAAAATCTGTGATTTACCGTTGTAAACCGAGCGACGACTACGTCTGAAACTCCCCTGGGGCTTTAATTATTTAGTTCTTTTCATTGACTCATTGTATAGGTTGCCGTTGCCGTCCTACATCCTTAAGCTCCCTGATAACGGCAGGAAAGTGACCGGTCAAACCAATTTTGGCTCGGACATCCTGCATTTTTGGACGGTCACACTATTCAACTAAACTAAAGCCTGACCAAGTCCCCCTAAATGCTACCTTTTCCGGTAGTTTTACAAAGTTTTGATGGCGATATCTGCCACCCATACTTTAAAAAGTGCACGGCGGGCCAAAATGACCAGTCATGCCAAAGTTTGGCCGGACAGATGCTCGTTTTTGCTGGACATTGTCCGTTGATCGGCCGTTATTTCGCGCCCTGAGGACAATACATAAGAAACCAATACATTTGATCCCTCTTATGCTTGTGCTTGCATCATAGAGAGGACCAGGCTTCGTGGACCAGGCCGTCGTGTTGCCGTACTACATGCTTAAGCTCCCTAATAACTTCGCGACGAGTGTCCTTTACTCGAAACGTTGGTGCTTTTGTTCGTATTGTCATTTAGTACATTTGCTAAAGCAAAATTTGGTGCTTTTGTTCGTATTTTCATCTAGTTCCTCAAGGGCAATTTCAGTTCACGTTTGTGTTTAAAATACCTTTCCGCCATTTTGTTTGTTTTGGGAAAATCATTAATTGTACTGCAGTACAATTAATGAAATAATTGTACTCCTCTCAACCAATCAGCATCCAGTAATTTTGTCATGCTAATAATAAAACAGGTAAATAGCTTACTTTTTATCCACCCAAACATTTGGAAATTTGAAAAAGTGAAAATTTTACAAATATCACGCGTACATTACAAATAAGGGAATGCTATTGGATAAGGTTTTGTGTGACGTAATTCCGTGCGGTTGTCCTCTAATAGATCATGGCTCTCTGAAAGCGCTTGAATTCTAACGTTATTATATAATATTTTATATATAAAACTAAAAGCTTATATAGTATAGGCAATATAAAAACTCGTTCTCGTTTGACCATCTGTCTCATCCCCCAGCCTTATTTAATACAGATTAAAAAACAAATTAGTTTAATACAAGTTATTTTATTCATCTTTATTTACTTACTTTGTTTCTTTTTGCAGTACGAACATGTTTTGTTGGTCCCAAGATAAGCATTCCAGTTAACGAGACGAGACCTCCTTCAATGGTTCATTCTGTTGATTACCCGCTGGATGGAGGAAAGCTTGTACGAGTGGAAGGACAGATCAGGTATGACAGTCAAGCCAGATTTTGACATGTAGTGATGAGGCCCAGCAAGTTCACCTACACACGTAAAAACGCACAAGTTGTAACAAGTCTGCAAACAAGTTGTTACAAGTCTGTTCACAAGCTGTCAACAAGTTGTGTTCGCACTGCTTGTTCCCAGTTTGTTGTAACAAGTTTGAAACAAGCTGTTGACAACTTGTAACAAGCTTGATGGCATTATCAGCCT